GGCACCTTGACCGCTTTGGGCGCCTTAGCTGGCTGAGGCGCTTGTTTGGCAGGCTTGGGCTGCTTGGTGAACGAAGGCATTGGCTTCTCCTGTATAGGCGAGGACGGACGGACATCGGGTCCCTTGCGGAACCTTCCCATTGGTGACAATGATCGGATGCTGAACCTTGATGATTTGGCTGGGTCCGGGGTCGGTGAAGAGGACCGCATGGACCTTCGCATGGCAGGCGATGGAGACTCCGGTGGTGATATGGCGCGAACCTGTCTTGGAGCTGGTGCACTGGCGCGCAGGGACGGTGTAGGGTTTTGCCTCATGGAGCCACGCATTGTGTACCGTCCACCTTGTTGACGGGATCCTCGGCTTCTAGTTCGCTGGAAGCTGCTAACAGAAGCATCAGAGTCGCTGTCATATGTAGGCACTGGCGCAGGCTTTGGCTTCGCAGCAGGCATACTCTGTGGCCTTGCCTTGGAAGCAACTGGAGGTGGAATATTCTTCTTTTGCAGTGCGCCTCGGGGCTTGGTTTCCACCGGTGTCATGCTGTGGCGAGATGCAGCTAGGCTGATATTGGCCTTTGGTAGTGTATCCTCTGACCGCATACTCTGTCGCATCTGTGGCTGTGCTCTAGGAGGGCTTTCTGGTCCTCCCCTCATGGTCGAACGCATTGTGGATCCCATTCGGGGTTCAGCTGGCGCATCTGTGTTTGAACTACCGCGCATGGTTCTTCTCATGTGCACCTCTGAACGACTTTCCCTAGGTGCGGAAGCCTGCGTAGTCCTGTTTGAGGACTCGGCTGGTCGAGTTGTTTCCGGAGCTGGACTCTTTTTCAAGGCCGACTTTAGAGGCTTGGTCGACTGTGATGGTGAAGCTACTGATACCGGGCGATCCTGCGAAGTCGAACGTTGCATGGGCTGATCAATACCTTTTTGGGGAGGCGGTATTTGCTCGACAGACGTCTCAATCTTATCGGCTTGTTTGAAAGACGCATTCAAGCCACTCCAATGCAACTGAGCAGGGGTCCAGTCTTGTGTTGGAGTTGCCTGTGAGTCGTCACTATCCTCCGCAGAAGTCTGTTGCCCAGACTTCAAGGCAGGGCCTTCCGTTGTATCTTGATCCGCATACTTTGAGTGCATCAGTCCAGATGACGAAGGGTTGATCGGCTTATCCATAAGAGCATCGATACTAGCAAATCCGCCTCCGTCAGACAAATCCTCATAAGCATCGCTATATATACTGCTTTCATCGTCTGTGGTGCCTTCTTCCTGTGAGTTGGATTGTGGCACCTGACTTGTCGGCTCCGTAGTGTTCGTAGAGGGTGTCGATGTAGATATAGCTGGTTTGGGGGTTTGGCTCCTAGCACCAGTGGCATCTTCGTCCCACCCTCCAGGAATAGTTATGCTTGGGAAATTCGGTTCAGGCTTCTCAAACGGGCTGGGGGTTGCAGGTTGGAATGCAATATCGGGAACATGGGCGTTTTGTTCTGATGCTGTGATCGTCGTCGATGGTACTTCTTCATGCGGGATAGACAGAGACTTTGGCTCCAGAGCTGGTGGTTGCTGAGACATTTCCTTATGCTCTGTAACCCCGTGCTTGTCCGAGTATTCGCTAGAGTCTGACACGTAACCACTGCCTTCGACAGAAGTAACCTCAGGTGGAAGAGGATCAGATGATCCTCTCTGCTTTCGAGCATGGTCGTCGGAAACAATGCTGCCAAGCGCAATGTCGCTTGAAACCCGAGATTGATCACCGACAGGACTGACGGACACGGTCTCAGTTACCTTTTCAGGCACTTCCTCCCTGTGACGTCGCTCCTTGTCTCGGATACTACCAAAAAGAGGCAGAGCAGGTCGCGGCTTCTTGAGGTCTTCAAACTCATCGTCCTTTTCAGCTATTGGACTCCATCTGGATGCCCCGAGGCTTCCGTAATTAGGCATCTCAGGGTGAGTCGGGGCAGAGGTACTAGGGGCCACCACATCTTCCTCAAAGCTAACACGAACGTTCTTCTTCTTGCGCCTTCCTCCCTCCTCCGAGGCAGTGTCCGATGCTTCACTTGAAGCACCTCTGGTGTGTAAAAGCCCGTTGGAGCGGAGCGGAGACTCGCCACGACGCGATACTGAGGGTGACGCTTTTAGTGCAGATTTTGCAGGGGATACTGATCGGGGCAGCGGTTCGTGCTTCAGCCCAGTAAGTTCGGTAGCTAAGGGCGCGAAATGAGCGGTGCGAGGTGGGCTTAACGGTGAATTTTCATTTCGCCCGGCGCGTTCGTGGTCTTGACTATCATAAGTACTTGCGGGCCTAGAATTTACCGGGGTGGATAGTCGGGGGTAGGGGTTGTCCTGGTTCTGGGCAACAGTGGACGAAGCCGCGTCGTCATCGTACCCAACTATGGTGCCATAGCCAGAATCTTCAAGTCTACGACTAGCGTTTGCCTTCTCAGGATGCTGCATATCAGCATCATTAAATTCATCAGAGTGCCGTTGAACAGCCGCCCTCGGTTCCTCTCTTCGCTGAGGCGGTGGCGGTTCTTGTCGAACGTAATGACGGATAGGGCTGGGTGATCCACGACCCATTTGGTTCTCTGGTATATGAACAGAATGAAAAGTCTCTGCAGGCTGTGGTCCAGGTTGGGGCTCGGGCTCAGGCATTTCGTGTATCTCCCTATGACGGGCCATGGCGTCCTGCTTGTGGATAAAGGTGCGGGACGATGGGTCATAGACGGCATCTGGCGAGTTCGGATCAACGGGTCGTGGGGCCTGTCTCGACGGATATGTTTGCTTTTGTACAGCTGTTCCGGATGGCTTCACACGCATACTGCCGCTTGATAGCCGAGAGCCTTCGACACCATGCGAGATGCGATGTGAGCTGACCGGGCGCTCGGCTGCATTTTGTATGGATCTCTGGGTGTTCTGGACATGGTGGCTAGAGACACCACTCGATGTCTTTGGCCGTGAGGTTGATGCCATGCGCTGAAGGGCATCTTGGTTGACAACGGGCCCACCAAACCATCCAGACGAAGCAGTAGTCTGTGGTGGGCTTGGCTTGGTGCCTACTACGCCGGGGGACATGGGACGGGAGAAGTTTATAGACCGGGCAGTGTCTTCTTCCTCTGAAACATTGGTAAGAGGGTTGGCGGGACGTTGGGGCGCTCGTCGAGGAGTACTAGCGCCCCTGTCTAAGCTCACACCTCTGCCTCCGCCTCTGGGGCCTGGCGATGCTCCGCGATAGAGGGGCTCGACACTCGATGCGCGGCGACGCATGCCACCGTCGTGATGCTGTATGTTTGCGGGCACAGGCGGGACAGGTGGCGCATTGGTTTCAGCTGGACTTCCTCTGCCTGGCGATGGTGCGCGGAACGAGCGCTCCGTCATGGACCCTGAACTCGACTGCCGATGCAGGGAACCGGACGGCTCTCTCGAGTAGCTGCCGTTGGATGAGAGCGAACCGCGTCGGGCCATGCGCTTGGTGACGGTATCTGCTACGGACGTCGGTGTTGGCGAGTGAGTACGCAGGGCTGCTGCGGCGGCGGCGGACGAGAGGGCGCCATTGGATTCGGCGCTCTTGATGAAGGCTTTGGAGGCGGCGAGCGAGGCGGAGGCGCTGGGAGGAGGCGCTCGCTGGGCCTGCACGGGGAAGAGCATGTGTTAGCAGGCACCGCGTCGCCATATTACATGGCCGTGTTTGCGCGACACGACATGTGCGCGCGCGCATCCACAGCCAGAAAAAAAGACACAACCTACCGGACTCGAGGCTGCTCTTCGTCGCTTGCCAAACATGATGGGCGGGCTGGATTAGGAATTACAGCAGTCGTGGGCGGATCTGCATTATCTCGGCGTCTATGGGCGTGGTGTAGTCTCGGTCTGGGGCCGAACTTGAGGTGCAGCAGCAGGGACCGCTTAGATGATGTCACGTCTAGTGGTAGACACGGAACCCGGCGGCACTGGATCAAGGAGCGTGCAAGGCCAATTGCATCAAGCCTACAGGAAAACAAAAAGAAAGGAAAACTAAGAGAAGGACAGCGCAGACGTGGCGGGCGGCAGGGCGAGGAGTGAGATGGATGGATGGGTTGCGGACCGACGAGGGTAGGAAGAAGACGCCGTCTATTTGGCTCGAGTGGAGTCGTCCATGAGAGCAAAACAGGCAAGAGGATCGCCTTATGGTACGCCGTCGAGGACAAGGGCGGAAGCTTGGACGGGGTGTCGTCACGGAGCAATAATATCCATACACCTGTTCGTCACATCGCGCAGCCCAGGCCACCGCACAACACGACGCCGACTCGCTCAGTCTAGATGTCTGCTCCAGCCACAGACGTCACGCCCGTAGGCCGGCCCAGGGCCAGCCGGTCCCTGATTTGCACTAACGGCCCATCGACACAGCAACACCAGGCCAGAGACCCACTTGGGCCACGATAGACCTTTTACTAGTCGCCTACTGGAAACATGGCAAGGGGCGTAGAAGGGGTCGTGTCGAGGATACTGCCATGTTGTCAAAACATTGTGTGTAAGCACCACTCATCCAGCTAACCCACAGGGCTGAACAGGGGTCAGCCCTCCGCTTTGCCGCCTCAGGCCCTGAACGCATGAACTGGAGAAGCATCTCAATTAAAAAGAGAAAAAGACAAGGACCGAATAAAATACAACCCTTGAAGGGGTTTGCCTTTTGTGAAACAATCCCATGCATCGAAGACTATGTTGGCCTAGGGTGATTTACTTGGAGAAAATGTTATATTTGGATTTTACTACTCGATAAAACAACACTGTTTCGCTGTGCTGCGATCAGCCGGCTTGGGATCAAACCTGTTAGTCGGCATTAATACAACACCAGTTTTTGTTGTTCCTCCGGTATCTTGGATTGGTGAACCATGGTTTCATCTATTGATACAGTGTTCTTTCTTGCAAAACAGTTAGGCAGCCACTTCCCATCTACTACAAGTTTCCACGCATGGAGGACAAGCAGGTTCTCTTCTAAAATTTCCAAGTATGTGCTTTATAAATCTACTACAAGACATGTTGAGTTGGTGCGGAAACATTCTAAGCACCCCTCCCGCCGCCAGAGCCAACCACATCGAAGTCGGTAGGGGACAGTGTGGAACGGTGCTTGCATTGAACGACACCGATTCCGTCGTAAAGATACCCAACTCTCCTGCCAAAGAAGATGAGCTTTTTACCGACTACCAGATCCATTACTCAGTATACAGCACTCTGGCCCCTCTCAGCTCCGTAAACATATCGGTCCCTCGGCCTGAAGCATGGATCACGCGCGGGAGTACAATCTGGTTTTCAACAGCTTCCTGCTTCCCTAAAGGAATTCCGTCTATCCCAAACTACGGTCTCATCTCGAAGCGCATCCTGTCTGTGCCTCTCTGCTTCCGCGAAGACATCGTAGACCTACTATGCCCCAAAGCAATCAAAACAATCAAAACCAAATTTCTCGCGAGACATGAGAACAATGATTGCCTAGTAAGACTCTATCTAGGCCGGCGCAGTTGCACGTCGCATAGGGAAGCCGGAAACATCCGGCTTCGTAACTTTCCACTTCACGTCAACGAGATGAAACGACTCGGGTTACGTCCAGAACGCTACGCTGTCACCATGGCACAGACTCTAGCTTTCCTCCACTGGAAAGTTGGCATCGATGCAAACGATGTAGAATTCGTCCTTGGAGGCGGCCATCTTGTCAGTAGTAGTTATCCAAGCGAACAGGAAGTCCGTGCAGCTACAAAGGATACAGCAGGGAGATTGCATATGACCAATCTCAGAAATGAACAGACATCGATGTGGCTACTGAATTTTAATCAGTGCCAGCGTTTTGAGTATCATGCGGATGACGAGGCAGGGTGCAAGGAGGTAATGAAGAAACTGGTCGAGGGCTTCTGGTTCAATGATCCATATTACCCGCGTCCCACTGCCACCGACGAGGGAGACAAGAAACTTTGGGGTGTATTTGTAGAGCATTATCTCAAAACGAGTGCGGAGCATGTTTCTCATCAAGGACCAAAGGAATTCATCGAGGCTGTAGTAGAGAAGGGTAAACAACGGTCGGAAAGTTCTTTGTTTAGTTCATAAAAGGGCAAGCTCTTTCCTGAAAAGGTTACGCCCTACCAAGTTGGGAACTACGACAGGTGAAACCAGGTGTAGATAGATCGAGTCTGTGGTTGCATCAAAAGCAACCTTTGACCTCTGTAAGATTAGTTCTTGTTGTAGGGGAGAATTGATAGGCATGTAAATTTAGTATGTGTCAGCCTCGTACTACTTCCTTACGTACTACCGCAAGTGGGCCACTACTAGCATTACGCAGCTTGGCAGCTCCCTCTCACGTCTTCCCCGCATCGTAGACTCACTTTTAGCTCTACACTGTCATCTCGAGTCGTACGTTTCTGTGTTTGAAATCACCTACAACAATCACCCATTATTTATCGCTTCATCCGTACTTTTGATCCACTCTCACGTGACAAGCCATCAACATGTCAGCTTCGCAGCTGCCGCCTCTGCCACTGCCAGACGGCATAACCGAAAACTATGTTCACTGCCCATCCAACGGAATCACCTTTCACATGATCGAAGCTGGCTATACGCCAAGGCAACATAAGCCTCTCATCGTTCTCTGCCACGGTTTTCCTGAACTCGCCTTCTCCTGGAGAAAGGTAATGGTGCCTGTAGCAGACGCCGGCTACCATGTCGTTGCATTCGACCAGCGAGGCTACGGAAGGACCACTGGTTGGGACAATTCATCATTCATCAATACCAATTTGTCGCAATTTGCTATGACTAATGTCGTCCGCGACGTCGTTACCCTGGTCAACGCCTTGGGTTATCGCGAAGTCAAGTGCATCGTCGGCCATGACTTTGGAGCTGTGACTGCTAGCATGTGCGCTTTGATGCGCCCGGACTTTTTCAAGAGCGTTGTAATGATGAGCCACCCATTCAAGGCTCCTGCGCCCCTTCCGTTTAACACAGCTCGAGCTGAGCGACAAATGGACGCCTCTGCACCGCCACTTGATGTCCATGCTGAGCTGGCAAGCCTAGCTGAGCCAAGAAAACACTACAAGTGGTACAACAGTACTAGTGTAGCAGCGCGAGACTGGGCTAACCCTACCCAAGGTTTGCATGAGTTTCTAAGAGGATACATTCATGTCAAATCAGCCGACTGGAAACAGAATGAGCCCCACCCCTTGGAGAGCTGGACGGCCCAAGAGCTGGCAAGATTACCTTTCTACTACATTATGCCGCTACGCCTATCCATGCCTGAAACCATTGCTAACATGATGGCTGGCCAGGACACGTCGGCGACCAAGTCATGGATGCCCGACCAGGACCTTGCAGTTTACGTGGAAGAATGGTCTCGAACAGGTTTCCAGGGTGGCCTCAACTACTATCGCATAACCACTGATCCGGATCGTATGAAGGATTTAGAGCTTTTTGCAGGCAAGAAGATCGAGTGCCCAAGCACCTTCATCTCAGGCGCAAACGACTGGGGGAACTATCAGCAACCCGGGGCCATTGAGTCTTATCCGCATTCTTGTTCCGACTTCCGAGGAAATCATTTCATCAAAGGCGCAGGTCACTGGCCGCAGCAAGAGCAGCCAGAGAAAGTTGTGCAAGAATTACTGGCGTTTCTCAACGGTCTCTGATGTTGCTGCACTTGCTGTCTGTCCGATTTCCGTTAAAGGTCACATTCACATGCAGCGCTCTAGCTACACATTGTACGTCGACTATGTCAGCCGCATGCACAGACCAAAAACCTCTTTTGGAACAAGCTAGCGCAATGACTCTGAGGCTGTTTTGTTACACAGCCCTCACTTGACAAGCCTCGTCGTTGCATGGCCGCCACTTCGTGCTCAGGTCTGAGATACCAGATCTAAAGTCTTGGCAACGGCCTCCGATATTCACTTACCACTCACCAAATCTGCTAAGCCACTGAGGTCAATGGCGTCCGTGCTCCAGTGCATTCGCCTAAAGCGACGAATACGGTATTATGCTTGTTCAGACTACATGATAGCTACTATACTCTGCATTGCATGTTATCTATGCGTCTGACACGAAAGTCTATTTCAGTTGGGTTATTGGCCCCAGGGGCAAGATAATAATAACAAATGCAGCCAATCGACCAATTGCAATGCGAGGCTTCCAGGAGTGCTGCACTGTGGTATCCTATTAAGGAATTCATCTAAAAAAGTGAGATTAATGCAGAATGCGCGCCTACAGCTTCACACCGAGGACTGAATATACGCTAGCCTGACTCTCGATCCCCAATGAAGCTTATGGTAGTGCTGACCTAACCATACGCTGAGCGTGTATCATCACTGAGAGGCTGAACGACCAAGCCACTGAGACATCTTTAGTAGACCCGATTACGGGCTGCAGGAGCATTGTGTATGAACAAATTTAGAGCATCAACACCGGTGCTCTCTCCAATAGGGGAATATGCACACAGGGCTGGACAACGATATAAAATCGTCATGGAATCATTGATAGTGAACAGCACTTCCAACCATTTCATCAACAACCAAAAGTCTTCTTTCACTCTGAGCCTATCTCCTTACCGCTCTTTTAGTCTTTCACTGTCACGATGGCAACGCCACCTCAAGCATCCAATGGTTGCCGATGCAGACCGCCCTTAACCTCTCCTAGCCTACATATTCCTTCTGACTCTTCCGGAACCCGCCGGTCTCAACATATGGAATCACGCAATTCGTCCGTAGAGTCACTTGAACATTCTCCACCAAATGTTCCCGAGGAGGAGCATGTTGATTCGAATGAAGGCGTTGTCCAGATCCACCAGCGTTCAGATCCACTTGATACCTCTGACAATACTCGAGCGTCATCAATCAACTCATCGCAGGAGAGCCTCAAATCCACATCAATGCAGGTCTATGCCTCAATGAGCGAGAAAAACGCCGGCACCAAGTCAGGCAACGCTGTGAAAACACACAGTGTTTCCGCGGTCCCATTGCCAAACACAAGATGGACGCACAGGCAATGGATCAAATTCTTGAGCCTCCACTGGCTCTCGGCTTACCGCGTACTCATCGGGCTGACCTTTATCATAAACATTGTTGTATTCGCTGTTTTATACAAGCGCCTCTCTCTCGCCGCACCTCTTATCGCTACCGCCGCCAACATCTTCGCCGCCGTATTTGTTCGCCAAGAAGACCTTATTAACTTGACCTTTGCCTTTGTGGCAAAGATGCCCTCAAACCTACCATTCTGGTTTGCGAGGACGATTTCAGACCTTCATCATTATGGCGGATTTCATATCGGCTGTGCAATCTCAGCGCTCTTCTGGTACACATACTTTGTATATCGCAACACTGTATTCTTCCTCGGAAACTCAGACGCAGGAACTGCAACGGCGTCCATGTGGGTCGACATTATCGCTTGTTACTCATTCCTGTTTTCCATCTTTCTCGTGTGCGTTACGGCTCATCCACGGCTCCGCGTCAAATTCCATAACACTTTCGAACATACGCACCGCTTTGGCGGTTGGACAGCGCTCATCGTCCTTTGGATCCACGCCGGCGTATCCAGCAAAAGCCCAGAGAATCCAGACATGCACGCCAACCCCGCCGTATGGCTCTTAGCCGCCACAACCTTTATCATCATCCTCCCCTGGACACGCATGCGCCGAGTACCCATCACTACCGAACTCGTCTCGAGCCGCGAAGTCAAGCTCAGCTTTCCCTTCAAGCACATGCCTTACACATCCACCATGCGCTTCTCGCGGAGTCCCCTCATGGAATGGCACGCTTTCGCCACGATCCCCAATCCCGATGGCGAATCCGCCTACATAGTGATTTCGCAAGCCGGTGACTGGACAAAAGCCATAATCCAGAACCCGCCAACCCACATCTGGATCCGCAAGCCAGCCGCCATGAACTTCCTCGCCTTCTCCCCGCTCTTCAACTCCCTCTTGCTCGTCGCCACAGGCGCAGGCATCGGCCCCATGCTCTCCCTCCTGCGCAGCCCCGCCATTGCCAACATGAAGAAGCAAGGACGTACGATCAAGGTCATGTGGTGCGTCTACCAGCCTGATGCACCCCATTGGCAATTCGTACAGGATATCATCCGCAATGTGGATCCTGAGCCGAGGATTTTCGATTCGAAACAGGGAAGACCGGATGTTGCGGGCGAGACTACGTATTTGATGCAGGAAGCGCAGATTGAAGCTGTTATGGTGGTTAGCAATCCAAAGGTTACAAGAGAGGTTGTTGAAGGGGTTAAAGCTTGGGGTGGTGCGGCGTATGGTGCTGTGTTTGATTCTTAAACTGGTTGCTTTGAAGGATTTCTGTATGTGTGTGTTGGTGATGGGTGGCATGTATCTTGGAGTTTTTTTCTTCTTTTTTTCTTACGAGTTGTTATCGGATTTTTTTTCTCATGTTTCTTAGGGGACGAAGAAGGGGGAACATTATTGAGGAGATGTCGATGCTTTGTATACACCATACTTGGGTGGGGAGAGGATCTTTTTGACTAGACTTTGGAGGATATGTATTCGACATCTTCTACTACTACTACAAAAAAAAGCGATATATAGGAAAATCAGGAGTGGTATATTTGGGGTTTTAGGTCGGAGAGAGGAGGATTTATAAGGGATATAGGCGGCGTACTGGAGTGTCTTATCATCTACTTCTTTCATTACATTATCGGGCAAAAAAAAATACATTTTTCTTCTTCTTCTCCTTCTCCTTCCAGACTTGCTCTCCTTTTGCAACATATGTGATTCAAATAGAGTATTAAACAACGACAGCAACGACCGCTCCACCCACCACAGCCAAAATCCCTCCACCAAGTACGCCTACGCTGTGACGCACGGCTGCACCAGTAAATTGCGCTGGACTCCCGCTCGAACTCATACTAGGCGTCATCATCGCGCCTCCGCCCGCCGTCATCGTCATTGTTTTATCGCCGTCCATGCTGATGATCATGGGCTTTGTTTTGTTGCCGGCTGCACAGGAAGGTACGGGTACGTTCGAGCGGGTTACGATAACGTCGGAGGGCATGGCGCTGGGGCAGGCGGGGTGGATGGTTAGGGTTGAGAGAGGGGCGCTGTGGCTGGGTGTTAGTTGGATGGATAGATAGGAGGATGGGAGGAGGGACTGACTCCGATGTTGCTGTTACTGTGGCGAGGAAGAGGGGGAGGAGGATGAGGAGGGGGGTTGAGAGTCTCATGGTTGTCTGTGTGTTGTGATGTTTAGATTTCTTGGAGGTTCGGGGATGGAGAAGGGGGGAGTAAGGTAGATGATAATGTATCTTGTCTTTATTGCTTCAAGTAGACAATTAGACGATTATTCAGTTAAACCAAGTCGTCCAAAGCATCCTTTCTACTTTCGCTCTCAGAGTCTTTAAACTTAACCCCCTTGCTTTCCACACTACACCCTCACTTACTTTCTTCTCGCCTCGGCTTTCTCTACTTCCACGCCGCCACCACCACCACTACTACTACTACTATCTTCTTCTGCTTCCCTCGAAAACTTGATTAGTCTGTATACCCCAAACACCCAGCCCGCCCTTCTGCAAGTTACACCCAACTACCGACTACCGGATCAAACGTCTTCCACTCGGGAAACAGCGCTGCCGAAAGACTAAGCAGGTACGGTTTAGGTATCGATCGTAGTATCTGGACTCGCGGGTTCAGACATACACGGCTAGAGCGAATGTGTATGTCGATCTACTAGTGTAAATTGGGCTCTGAGATTTTTCGGAGGGAGGGTATCCCGGGGCAAGGGCGAACGACGCCTTTGCGGTGGATGAGTCGGGGGCGGGAACATGGATGATTTAGTTTACTAGGTTGGCGGTTGTAAATTTTTTTTGATTGGAGCGGGAGATTTCTATCTGGCGATCACTTTTCTGGTACTAGGTGCAAAAGAGTGCGGCCGCGGCAAGTGTGGGGATAGTAGTGCGGGTTCTGGAATTCGGCCGCTCGAACGCTTGTGCGGTTGGGTGTTGTTTTGAGATGCGCGTAGCTTCAGGGACGAACGAGACATTGTGAAGAATATACCTTGGCTAAGTTTTATTGGTGGGATTTGGACGTGCTAGTTCACAGTGTACACCTCGAGTGTTATGTGCAACAGCATTGGTGGGTTTGTGAGAATTCGTAGTCTTGCAGTACTACAACGGTTGTCTTGCCGTCTTCCCCAACGGGCAACCAAAAATGCAATGAATAAAGTAAAAAGCCACACTCGTCATACATCTCACTGTCCATGACCCGCGACATCCCCATCCGGATACATGCAAATTTTCTTCTCTTTCTACCAAAGAAAACCCCGCATCCACCATCGTTCCGCGGATTTACCTCCTGCAATGCACATACGGGCTCGATGTCCCGCGCCCCACGATGTCTTGACAAACAAATCCAGGTTAAACAAAATAAGCCTCGATCTTCCCCCTTCCTAGGGGGGTCCAGTCTCTTCTAATTGGCCAAATCACACCAAGTCGATCGTAGTCCGCCCTGTAGCGTTTTAGCGCACTTTTGTTTCGTTCGGAAGGTCAGCATTCCGTCAATGTGGGGACAAGACTACCACAACAACACCAAAGAAATCGAGCCCAACCCGCAAATGGTGCGGAGTATGGCTTGGTTTCTGCACGCTTATTACACGTCAGTACCGTTTTGGTCTTACAGCCCCCCTGATTAGGAAATTGGAGTTGCTGAGCGTTTCCTGATCGGACGTTTGCGCCTGGGTGGTTGCGGTATAGAATTTTAAACGTAGGCTAGGATTTGGGGGGGGAAGGGGGCGTCGGATGAGGATCACTCCGTTCGGGCGATTATGTTGTACAATCGACGATGATGACAATGACGGTTGGAGAGGAGTAACAGCGGGACTAGTAGAGTTGGAAGGATGAAAGGAAGGACAGGTATAAGAGACACTGTAGTCGTGAGAGAGAAAAGAAGGCATCAAGTTCATCATCACTACCACTTGAACACTATCCACAGACTTTGTTACTTTACCAAGTCTCTTAATACCCAATCTTCCAAAAAAAAAATGAAGTCCACACTCCTCTCCACCACCCTCCTGGCAGCCCTCACCTCCGCCTCGCCCATCTCCCGGCGCGCAGACGGCCCCTCAGACGGCGAAATCCTCAACTACGCCCTCACCCTCGAACACCTCGAAGCGACCTTCTACTCTGAAGCCCTCGCCAAGTACACCGCCGCCGACTTCACCTCTGCAAACTTCACACAGGAAACCTACGAGCGCGTCAAAACAATCGCCGCAGACGAAGCCGCACACGTCTCTTTCCTAACCGCTGGTCTCAAAGCCGCCGGTGCCACGCCCGTTGAAGCGTGTACTTACGACTTTGGCTACACCGACATCCCCTCCTTCCTCGCCACCGCCTCCGTGCTCGAAGGCGTAGGCGTAAGCGCCTACCTCGGCGCCGCCGCCGACATCATGTCCAAAACCTATCTCACAGCCGCAGGTTCCATCCTCACCGTTGAAGCCCGGCACGCAGCGTACATCCGGAACAGTATTGCTGAAGCGCCGTTTCCCGCGCCCTTTGATAACCCGCTGGGTTACAACGAGGTGTACACGCTTGCGGCGCAGTTTATCAAGGCGTGTCCCGAGGGTAATCCCAAGTTGCCCGTCAAGGCGTTTCCGGTGCTGAGTGCGGCGCCGGCTGAGAAGGGGAAGATGGGGGTGTACAGCGGAGATAAGATTGTGGTTTCTACGCCCAAGTATACGATTGAAGGAAAGGTTTATGCGGCGTTTATTACGGTTACGGGACCGGTGTTTGTGGATGTGGAGGTTGTAGAGGGAGGATTTGAGGTCATGGTGCCAAAGGAGGGTGTGACGGGTCAGAGTTATTTGGTGCTTACGAGTTGTAATACTGCGGCTACGGATGATACAATTGTCGCTGGTCCGGCGATTGTGGAGGTTATGGCTGCGATGATGTAAAGGGTTTGTCTGTTTTGTCTTTTCCTTACCGCTTCTGAACTTCACTGGCTGTCTCTTTTTTTACATGCACAAAGAGAGAGAGAGAGAGAGAGCAAGTATCGTAACAAATTAACGTCATCACCATCATAATCAATAATTTTTTCTTATCAAAGAATCGAGAATTGTTAATGTAGTTTCCATCTTGCTTATCTACACGTGTCTCCCTCCCTTCCTTTTTTCCCCTTCCCTAAAACAACCAAGAAAACGATGTTGCAGATATACATCCACATCCACACATACATACTACAGCCCTGCGTCAAGCCCCTGCAGCGCCCCCCAAAAAAAACAAGGGGAGGGAGAGCACCTTGCATATTACGCGCGTTTCCCCGACCCGTCGTGTGTTTACCGAACATGCAGGATACACACAGTTTGATGGTCACGACAGGCACCCTGCAGAGAGAAGTCAATTGGGAACCAAAAAAAAGAAAAAGAAAAAGAAAAGAGAAGCCAGGGGGGAGCATGTTTGGTGGGTACCGTGGGGGGAACTTTGCGACATGGGATGTAGGAGTGGGGAGGGTCTTTTTTTTTGCTAAATATAGGTTTTTTGGTGGATTGATAGGTTATGTGCAAAAAGTGAGTTTATGTGTGGGAGTGTGGGAGTGAAAGCGAGAAAAGGAAAAATGTTGGAGATGGGAGAGAGATGTTGGATGTGGATGAATAGGGTGAGAACGTTCACAGTGACTGATACTATAGGGAGAAGAAGATCTTCCAAAATCATTGACATTTCTCATTATTCTATGTCGGCCCAACAGTTCTATCAAATTGTAAAACGTGCAACGAATACACTCTCAACTCAGCGCATTGTAAAACCAACTTGGCTTCGATTAAAATGTTTCCAGCCAGCCGGAGTAAATTCTTTCATCCCATGTGATGTCGTATGTGCGTATATATACAAGCCAGACTTTATGTTCCTCTCTTCCTCCCATAAACCCCCCTGTTCCCCGACCCACACCCATTCCTCCAATCTCCGATACATTATTCCATGTAACAAAAGGAAACCGGCTCAGCCAACCCCACCGAACAACTAGAGGGTATTCCCCCAACATGTCCGCCCAGATAAGGTCATGGGCATGAGAGCAAGCAAATCAAGCCACCCCAACCGACCAAGATATCGCGGATCGGTAATGGAAAAAAAAGGAAAAAAGACAACAAAACCAGATAGGCACTCGGGTGCTCCCGGTTCCAAATATACAAGACCCTCTTTTGTTGGGCAAGGAGATGGATATGATGCCGCGCCTTGGGAAGGAAAGTGAAAAAAACCCGTCCTCCACTACAAATGGATGATGCCAGAAATCACAAAGGACTATTTTCCTTTGTGTGAAATGAAAAAAAAACGCCAACCAACGCCATGCCGTCATGCAAGAACTCGTGGTGAGAAGGAATCGGTGATATGCGGTCGTTGCGCTCGTCTAATGTTGGTACGATGTCGGTAACGACTGACTGCCGCAGTCGGGAATCTTGAGGCCGGGCTTGAGGTTGCGGTTAACGTCCATGAGACCCCATTTGTCTTCCCACTCTTTGCCTTTTTCGTTGTACTTGATCTTCCATGGCTCATCGAATGCAGAGAACCTAGATGGCTGTTAATTTTTTGCGTCTATTTGCTTTTTTCTAAAGAATAAACTCACCAGAAATACTCGGTACCATTCTTCAGACTAGGGCAGATCCAGTCTTCCATAAACTGATTCATTTCGTCAATACCAGCAACAGATCCGCCTGTGCAAGTCGTGGCTCCACCGCAGTCGGTACCGCCTCCAGATGGCCAGCCAACTTCTGCAATAACCTGGTGAATCTTGTTCTGGCTGGCAGTAAGAGCAACGTCGTGAGTTTGCCAAAAGTCCCAGGTCCATCCAGCGGCCGCCTTGACGTCAACACCGGCGAAGAATGGATGGACGTTGGACATGACAATGTCGACCTTGGTGGCCATGTCGGCGGTCCAGTTGTCGCCAAGATCGGCCATGGCGACGGGGAGTTGGCACTTGTGGTCGGTAATGTTCTTGCGGAAGTCGCTGATGTGGTTGAGGAGCTCATCGGCGGTCAAGTCTTTTCGGAATAGCACCTCGTTGCCGATGATGATGCCCTTGAAGTAGTCACAGCCATAGTCGTCAAGGATATCCCAGGTCTGGGAAATCTGTCGCTGGGTAGTGGTGTCGTTGCTGTCGAGCCAGACTCCGAGCCAGATCTTCATGGAATCCTTAATTTCCAGGCGCTCAATGGCGTGGATAAGCATCTGGGTCTGGTTGCAGTCAGTACCATATAGGCGGACAGAGTCGGTCAACTGTGACATGACGGCCAAGTCACGCGTAATGTTATTCTGCGATGGTGGGACGTGGATACAGTCTGGGTATTGCGAGTTGAGCGGCGTGTAGTCCATGCCGGGGAAGACCTTGTGCAGATTGGGGTTGTTCAGGAGAGCTTTGATCTCTGACGAGTCTTTGCCAAGGTCGTCCTTGTTGTCTTTGGCAACATCGTTGGCAGCTTGTTGCGCCTTTTCTGCGTTGCCTGAGCCGCCGCCCCGGTTGATGGTGGCACCGAGGACACCACCGAGGATTGCGCCCATCATGATGACTGTGATGATTGCAATGGCTATCCACATTCTCTTCTTGCGCTTCTTCAGGTCGTCTTCTGCCTTCCAGCTTGCAATCTTTTCGGGCATGAGCTCTCCGCTTCCGTTGACCATGGGCACTGTGTCGTACTTGTTGCCGTCGCGCGCGGCGCTGTAGGCGGCAGCACCTGCAGCAGCACCTGCACCTGCGCCGGCGGCGCCATTGTTGATTGATGATCCAGGGGAGCCATTGCGGCTGCTGCCGTCGCGTGAGCTGCCAAAGGGGACAAAGGAACGGCGCTTGTTCTGCAGGGCCTCGCTAGGTCCCATTCCCCAATCGTCGTCATTGTCGACTTCGTTTGGATTAATCTGACCCATTTGCGGGGCGAGGTTCTGGGCCGACGACGAGTAGCGGTTGTAGGGCGTGTCGGAGTAGGTGCGACCACTGTGGGATGAGTGAGGCATGCTGAGGAGGGAGCTATCGCTCGAGTACATGCCAGGAGCGAGAGGCGCAGCGGAGCCGTTTGAGCGCGAAGAGTACATTGGGCGAGGGACCATGGAGGCGTCATAGTCATTGAAGGGTGAAACAGGCGAAACAGGCGAAAGGTTGCCAGGGACACCCAATGGGCGGCCTGAGTCGATGCCTCGTGTGGGCGGCGCGGAGGCTGGCGACTGGTGTGCAGCCATGGTGTTGTCGGAGAAGGCGTGGCCAGGCGTCGAATAGTCGGAGTAGTTGTTGGGGTCAGCGTAGGGTGGGTGGCTATTCATGTGCTGGGCTACAGGCGTGCGATGGACGGGTGGAGGGGGAGGGCTGTCGTCGGCGGAGGCGGCGTCGGTGTATTGAGCTTGTCCGAGTGGCCAGGCTTGTTGCTGGTGGTAGGCCATTTTGGGCAGACTTTTTCCTACAGAAGATGCTGCAAGAAGCGAGGACGTCTTAGGCGGCGGCGCACCGCTCGGGGGATGGGTCGCAGCGGACTATTGGTGGGGGCGTGGGCGATTGGGGCGGGTGTCTTTGTTTGTTCTTGCAGGGCGAGGCAGGGCGTGTGCTTTGGGGCGGGAGCACAGGCAGCCAAAAGAAATGGTGCAGCGGTGGGTGGAGTGGGATGGTGGGAGGGAATGGGAGGAGAGAGCGAGAGAGAGAGAGGTTTGGTGGAGTGGATAGACAGGACAGGACAGGACAGGACAGGATGCAGGCAGGGCAGGATGCAGGCAGGGCAGGATGCAGGCAGGGCAGGGCAGGGCATCTGGCAGGCCGGGTAACACGGGCTGGTACCACGGAGGCTGACGGGGTGTGGGCGCCGGGGCTGGCCCGCCGCAGCATTTCACCCAGGAAACGCGGTGGACCAACGGCCGCGAACCCACTGGTGACGTCGGCCAACCCAGCCATCCTCGCCCTCCCCAACAGGTTTTGCGCCGCCGCCGTATTCGCACAAGTACTTGGTAGTGTAGACGACGGTGTGTACATGTGTAAATACGTACACGATGCATTCACTGGCGTGCGCGAGTAAGGAAGTAGTACCATTAGCCGCAGCGATCAATGGGTAGGTGATGATGATGATGCTGTGCGCCCACGTCAATAAATCAACGACACCACACGCATGCGCCCCATGCTTTGTTGTGTGGCGGGAGTCGACATGTATATCAAGTATGGATGAGTATTAGGTGCCTGGCTGTGCGACGCCCGCTGCGTGAAAACAAGCAGCCAGGGTGGGCTCAGTGGGCCGCCTATCCAATCTCCGCTATCTCAGCATCGCCGTCGAGGAGGCTGGTGGTTGGCTGTCTTTGTCCACCCTCCTTCTTTTCCGGACAATCGTTATAACTCCACTCCCCCAAGCCCTCAATCCAATATCCAACACTGCCCGCACCACCAGCATCCACGTAATGCTGCTTGCATCTCTCTGCCCTCTGCCCTCTGCCCTCTGCCCTCCCCTCCCTCTTCGTACCTGCCAATGCACAGCCCAATGCCGCTTGCAGTAAGTAGAGTAGAGTAGAGTAGAGTAGAGTAGCATCTGCATCCATCCTCGACACTAGCCAGCCCCACACGATCCAATACATATGGCCTGGTCGCGCAATCGTCGATGGATGCATGCATGCCCTTGTCGTGTTGCTAAGTATTGCTGTCGCTGCTGCAATCATTATTCTACATGCTCCAAACCACCGTCTCATGGCCAGTTTGCCCATTGTGAAACGCAGGCACATTGCACACCACACCATGGCGCCATTGCACCCGACGCCTGCTGCTGCTGCTGCTGCTGCTGCTGCAATCGGCGCAAGGCTCACTCTCTCGTCCCTACCCCGCCCCCGAGCGAAGCTTATCTCACCTTGCGTGTCCCGATGCCAGAGCCGCGTCAGCGACCATTTCTTCTGCCGCCTCTTAGCCTCGACATGATGGCTTCTATCTAACTACACACTCATCGCCTCGTGCCCCAACCTTGCTTCTGCTTCCACCACCACCACCACCACCACATGCTCCCTTCCGCCGCCATCCGCGCCCCAGCCGTCGTGGTCTTGGTCCTCCGCCCGCATTGCAACTCGCCCCAACCACTCAAGTCCGTGCTGCACAGTCGCATCATGTCTTCACGAACCGGTCCTGCCCCGGCCTTGGCATGGCTTGTAGCTTGCTGCTAATTATGAACGGCCTCTAGCCTACCGCTCAACGCAAATCCAACCTGCTGACACGAGTCTGACACCTCCGCTGCAAAAAAAAAAAATCAATCTACCCCAACACTTCGAGGCACGGCACTCACAACACGACCCCAACTCCATGTTGGCACGCCTGTTGGCCCTGCTGCTAGGCCAACAACCGTCGTGCCTTCCCTTTTGAGTATTGCCATGCCCACCACATGGGGACGCGTATCCTCTGCTGCATCGATTCCCGTGACAACACTCTGCTCAACCAACCCATACACATGCATTTTCTCTCTTGTTAATTTATTCGCTCACACCAACTACCCACCCCTTGCAATACCCCCATGGTGTGCTCCCAAACCTTCTTTGCAGTGTCATCTCGCCGCGCCTTGGCCCAGCTCACTTCCTTCCTCTCGTCTCCTCGCTGGCCTACTGCATAAGCTCCCCCTCCCATCTCCCTCTGACTGCTGAAAGCCACCTTGTCCCCTGCCAATGTTCCCTTGGCAGGATACCGCCCCGTACTCAGAGACACCATGACCTGTCCACACACCTCGGGGCTCGTCATGTACCAGCTCGCCAATGGCTTCAACACCCTCCACAGAACACGGAACCATAGCGGGTTTTCCTCGCTCAGAAAAGTGGGGCCATCTACTAGTCCAGGGTAAATGTGTACAAAACTGATTTTTCCCTCATGTTGCTCGGCCAGTAATTCAAAAATAAATGTCTTCATGAAGCACGTCCGCTTGCGCACTTCGGTCACACTGTAGATTGCTGCCTCGGGCGCACCAATCGGCACCTCACCTGCCTTGATCTGGTCCTCGACTGATCCCGCAAAAATGGAAATGACATGCGCCGTCGTCGGACTTGCTCTAAGCAACCCACTCAGATTCTGTATGAATCGGATGCGCGAGTAGTAGAGCAACGACATTTGCGAATCAATTCCTTCTTCCGTGACTGCAATCACTCCAATCAGTATATGAAACTCTGGCGGAACAAAAAACAAACAACAAATAACCTACGAGGTGATGGTGCCAATGGCGACAGCGCCGAACTCATGTACAATGCATCCAACCTCGGTGGTCCGCCGGCAAACGCACCTGCCTCCTCTTGCCGTATAATCTCCTCACTCACAGCATCCACCTCACTCATCAAAGCCAAATTCTTCGCCCTAATGAACCGCCACTCCGAGCCCGCGCTCGTCTCACGACCAGATTGCATCAATCTCTCTGCCCGTTCAGCATTGCGTCCCACGAGATAAACCCGGAGTTTAGCTCCATGTCCCGCAAACGTCGAGGCAAACGTTTGTGCTACATACGATCCAATACCGCTTGTACCTCCAATCAGGGCCACGACAAGCGGTGGCCCATCCGGTAGCTGCGCAATGCTCGAGCGGATGGTTTCGACGTCTGGCATTGTTAGTCTTGCGAGGTGGGCTGATGATGAGTGTACTCGAGCGTAAGACGCAATCAGCAGATGCTGGATATGTGTATTCGACTACATGTTCATATAAATCTCTGATTTGTATTACCCAATATCCTGCAGCAGGAGGCCTTATTTCTACCATTGCTAATATGCTCGTTGTATATTGCCGTTACGCCCGTTTGCATAGTACGTCCTGTGTTGCTGGCCTATCAGAGCTGGCATGTTTACAGGCTTAAGTCCGTAAGTCCGGGAGCCATCCGTCATAACACTCTTGCAACCAGCAAATCCTATACACATACATGTCCTATCTTCCGTTCCACGCATCGATGACATCCTGGACTTTGAGCGGTTTAATCCCAGGAAACCAGTCGTTTTTGCACTTTGTCATATCCATATCAAAGCCACCTCCCAAATATGACAACGCGGCAGCCGAAAACATCGGGATCCATTCCGGACTGGGCAACCATTCCCTTACATTTGGTGGCAGGGTCATCTTGCCTGCTCGAATGTCCTCCTCCGTATCATAGTGGACTTCGAATTTCACACCCTTTGTCTGCTCGGCGCGCTGCACAAATTGCTTTAGAGTAAGGCGATCGGCAGCGAAGAAAGCTGATTCAGGCCAATTGGGAACATCCATCATGCCAACAACGAAGCGTGCCGTATCCGCGGTATGCGTGAAGACCATAGAGGTCTCGCCGTCTCCCGGTATGGCAGCAAAATTGTGAGCCAAATCGATGAATATGCCAACAATCTTGCGCGGGTCCAGCACACTGCGAACATGAGGGTAGCCCCAGAAATCAAGAAAGATGCCAATGCAGACGAGACTGTACTCCAAGTCTGTCTTGGCGAGCGCTTCACGAGCCTTGAACTTGTACGTGTATGAAGGTGGATGTTTGACCATTCTAGATGACTCATGTCAGAAACTACCTTTTTTTCTTATCCAAGAGAAGTATAGAGAGAGGGAGCAGGGATCCTACGTGCTCTTTATGGTAGTCGGCACCGAACTCGCTGGGAATGAACCGCTTCACACACCCAGCACCGACAGATGCCTCAATCAGATTCAACTGCGCCTGGCCGCTCGACTCGTCTCCAATGGACAGCGCAGATATGACCGTGTGGATGGACTGCGCCTTCAACGCCTCCGCGAGACCAGAGGTCGAGGTGTAATCAACAACTATAGCTTTTGCATCATCGCTAGGTGTCCGGGTGAAGATGACATATTCGTGCATATCCTCGGCTTTTAGAACATTGTGGATGGCCAGGCCAATGCCAGATGTGCCACCCGCAAGCGCGATCTTGACCATCTGATAGAAGTTGCTGTTGAATGCCTGGCTGGAACGATAACGGTGTGATACTAACAAGACATAAGAGAACATTAGGTTTAAATATTTCACATAGTATTTAAGAGGCGGACGGGACCTGAAGCATGTCACTGTGTCTTGTATGAAAACCTAAGGAAGGTTCAGCCCCTCGGAGACCACACTTCGGACCAAAATGCTCCACGGTCACGTGTATGGGAAGAGTAAAGCATACATAGCCCCCTCCCCGTCCAAACCTCAAGACTTCTTTTAAGAATTTCGTCTTTAGTACACTCCCAAATTCAACATGCTTTTTGTGTGTGCCTAATCTGCGACATTGCTTCATAAAAAGTGGGTGGGTTTTCTGGAAACCTGATGATTTCCGGGATAAGTAAGCTAGAGATGTACTTAGTAGGACTTCCGAGTGCGATGTTTTTGTATCGCTACTACGCCTTATCCTGACTTGGATTTAGTATTATGAAGTTTCAAAGTAACTTAATAAAATTGGTAATGTAGGTGGTTAGTGAACTTTGTAATTGTTGGATGTTATGTAAATGGTGTGGATCCTAAGTTGGTGGTTTGGTTTCATGTGGTAGCTGTCGTTGTTGTGCCATGCGTCTTGTCAGACTTGGGACTAACAGCAAGCTCTTGCATCAACGCATTGTAAGCACACGTGTATTACACACTGCACTTGCTCGTGGAGATGACCAAAATGCTTTACAAATACGATGGCTCGATTGAGTAATTAGCGTATCTACTAGTATACGTGTGTATATTGTAGCTACTTAATTGAGACCGATGCTGCATCCCTTTGTCCTAGAAGTCTGACATTAAAGACTCTATGGATAGAAATGACATCACCAACAGTAAAATTACAGCAAAGCCTAGATTGCACAACTCTACATCGCTTGTACGCGCTCTCCAGCTCCGTCCAATGCGACATGTATGGACTGGGCCTCGCCGACAGTGACAATCTTAGCTTCGCCTACTAGGGTGTCCGACCCCACAAGAACGGTCCCTGAGAAGCAACGGCGAGATTTGCCCGCCATCACAACACGTAGCATCTCAACACTCGAACAAAGCAATTGGCATTTGGCCCACACATCAATTGCTCCTCTTTCCCTAACACTTAGTGGTACACATAATTGATTTTGGCATCTCCTTCCGGTAAGTGCAAGAGAACAGGTGCCCCACCGACCATCTGCAGCTCTCTGGACACAGTAGCTAACACTCGACCTCGCCCGTGCAGCTACCCGACATCCACCATGAGCAACCTTTTCGAGGCAAAGGTCAAGAGCGTACTTTCCGGCGATACCGTCGTCCTCCACAACATCAAGGACCCAAAAGCAGAGCGCATACTCAGCCTAGCCTTTGTAACAGCGCCGCGATTGAGACGAGAGGGAGATGAGCCCTTCGCCTTCGAGTCACGCGACTATCTCCGCCGCCTGCTGGTAGGCAAGGTCGTCCGATTCCAAGTCCTGTACAAAATACCCACAGGCGCGAACCGCGAATATGGCCTCATTGTCACACCCAACAAGGAGATACTACCCCAACAAGCCGTCGCCGCAGGCTGGGTGAAGCTGCGAGACGACGCTGGCCGCAAAGAAGACTCGGACGAAGCGGCCAATCTGATTGAGAGACTCCAAGTAGACGAGGCACGCGCCAGGGCAGACTCAAAGGGAATCTGGGCCGAGACGGGTGGCAGGATCAACGTGGCTTTAGAGCTGAGCGATCCCCACAAGTTTGTTGAGCAGAACAAGGGCAAGGACATTGACTCGATTGTCGAAAAGGTCCTTTCCGGCGACCGTCTCATCGTGCGCCTCCTTCTTTCGCCCACCGAGCATGTGCAAACCATGGTCCTCCTCGCTGGTATCCGTGCGCCAGCAACACAACGAACGAACCCCTCGGACGGAAAGGTGCAACCGGCTGAGCCATTTGGTGACGAGGCACAACAATTTGTTGAGGCAAGGATGCTTCAGCGCGGTGTGCTCGTTCAGGTACTCGGTACTACACCCAATGGCCAGCTCGTTGCAGATGTCAAGCACCCGACCCAGGGCAGCATCACACCTTTCCTCCTCAAGAACGGTCTCGCAAAGTGCACCGACCACCACACGACCCTTTTGGGCCAGCAAATGGGTATACTGAGGGGAGCTGAGAAGCAGGCAAAAGAAGGTCGATTGGGCGTGTACAAGGAACACGTTGCGCCCAAGGTCACCCGGGCAGGCGAGCAAGAAGCCACCGTCAGCCGAATCCAGAGCGCAGACACGCTTTTCCTGCGGAACAAGGCCGGTGCAGAGAAGCGCATCAACCTCAGCAGCGTCCGTCAACCAAAGCCTACTGATCCTAAGCAATCGCCATGGGTGGCCGAGGCAAAGGAGTTCCTGCGCAAGAAGCTTATTGGAAAGCATGTCAAATTCCACGTTGATGGAAAGCGGCCAGCCAGCGATGGCTACGATGAGCGAGAGATGTGCACCGTCACCATCCAGGGCAAGAATGTTGGTCTGATGCTTGTCGAGAACGGCATGGCTTCGGTCATCCGCCACCGACAGGACGACACGGATAGGAGCCCCATCTACGATGACCTCCTACTGGCTGAGCAAGCTGCGCAAGAGGAGAAGAAGGGGCTGTGGTCGGACAAGGCGCCGTCTATCAAACAGTACGTCGACTACTCGGAGTCGCTTGAAAAGGCCAAGCGCCAACTCACCGTACTCTCCCGGCAACGCAAGGTACCCGCAATTGTGGACTTTGTCAAGTCTGGATCGCGTTTCACTGTACTGGTACCACGCGAGAACGCAAAACTCACCTTTGTCCTCTCTGGTATTCGTGCGCCTCGATCTGCGCGTAACGAGAACGAAAAGGGGGAGCCGTTTGGCAAGGAGGCACACGAATTCGCCAACCGACGTTGCCAGCAGCGAGACGTTGAGATCGACGTCGAGGACTGCGACAAGGTCGGTGGTTTCATCGGTACTCTCTACATTAACCGTGAGAACTTTGCAAAGACGCTAGTCGAGGAGGGTCTTGCAACAGTCCATGCCTACTCCGCGGAGAAGTCTGGAAACGCAAACGAGCTGTTTGCTGCTGAGCAGAGGGCCAAGGACGCACGCAAGGGCTTGTGGCATGACTATGACCCTTCACAAGAGGACGACGGCGAGGAAGTTGAAGCTGCTGAAGCTACCAACGGCGAGGCTGCTCCATCAGCAAAGGCAGACTACCGCGATGTCATCATCACACATGTCGAAGACGATGGCCGACTCCGACTCCAGCAAATTGGTAGCGGTACATCAGCCTTGACGTCGCTCATGGACGCCTTTGGCAAGTTTCATCTCAACCCAGCAAACAGCCAAGGCCTGTCCGACGCTCCCAAGGCTGGTGAGTTCGTCGCAGCCAAGTTCACTGCTGATGATCAGTGGTACCGCGCGCGTATTCGACGCAACGACCGTGAAAACAAAAAGGCCGAGGTCGTGTACATTGATTATGGTAACTCTGAGATAATCCCATGGTCACGCCTCCGCCCTCTTTCACAGCCTCAGTTCTTGCCATCAAAGCTTAAGCCACAAGCTGTCGAGGCACAGTTGGCATACATCCAACTCCCTGGCAACTCCGAGTACCTCCAGGATGCGGTATCATTCATCTCGCAAGAGACTGCCGACCGTGAGCTCGTTGCCAGAGTCGAGGCAACTGAGAAGGACGGCATGCTCTGGGTCACTTTGTACAACCCTAGCCAGAGCAAAGACGGCACTGAGAGCATCAACGCAGACATTCTGAGTGAAGGTCTCGCCATGGTGCCTAAGAAGCTACGACCATTTGAGCGCAGTGGCGGAAACATCTTGGCTGCCTTGAAGAAGAAGCAGGATATCGCCAAGGAGGAGCGTCGCGGCCAGTGGGAGTATGGCGATCTTACCGAGGACTAGGTTGTTGACTTGTCTTTGATTTGGCATCAGTTGAACCTGGATATGACTTGTATGAGAAAACAAAAGTTGGCACACAGCAGGACTGAAAGAAAATGGCTTGGAAGTATATGCTAACGATGTTGTAATATTAAAAAAAAGTCTATGCATTCGATTACGTTGTGCTATAGTTCCAGGCTGCTGCTCACATGTTGAAATTTGTTAGTGTCGTCGTGACTATGGCATACCGGCGTGCCAGCGTGCCGCCATAGCAGGTGAGACATTATTACTCATTACAGCCTCGCTATTTACAACAATGACGAATGTTGTTTCAGTAGAGATCGCGATAACGCTCATTTGTGGCTTCTGTATTAGCATGTCGAATTGTATGCATGCACGTTCATCGTTGCCCGAGGCCGTCGCACACTCCGTAGGTCAGCCCTGCCGCGGTGGTGGCGCAGGCGGAGAAGGCTTCACTGTGATTGGTTGCTCGGCGACGGAGATCTTTCCCCCACCATCCAAGGAGCTGAGGCGGTGCCTGTAGGCAACCATCAAATGCACCCTGGTTAGACAGAACACGAGTCTTGCGCCATGGCGACGGGCCCCAAGGCAGTCGTGTTGCAGGCACCCCTCATGCATCCCCTCACATAGCTAATAATCGCCTTCCCCCCCTCATCGCGCGTCGCAGCAGCCTTTGCGACGACTTGCCAGCCCGCTTGTGACCATGGAAACGATTAGCAGACTGCCGCGGCGCTTGACACAGCTCTATTCAGACACCAAAACCACCTGCGATGCTGTAGTGGAGCAGGATGCCAAAGACACGCCAGAATCGCACGCGCTGCATCGCAAATTCCGGATTCAAAAGGACAGGCTCATAACATGGGGCGTCGACTGGAGCGACAACGCCAAAGGAAAGCAAGGCGACATTGACGACAGCGTCGAGGAAGCTGGCATGACGGAGACTGTCACGAGTGTGCTTGGGACCATCAAGGAGATTCTCGATGAGGCAGAAAGAATGCACCCGGGCGCATCTGCTGCTGGTGTGGGAAAGACATTATCTGGAGAGAAGAGTCGGCCTGACCCGCCCTCGTGGGCGCCCGCTGACAAGTCACGTTACGA